TGTTTGCTAGTATGTTTTTTTTTTGATGCTGTTTTTCTGCTACTCCGTGTTTTTTGAATTGACCTGCCATTTGATTTTGTCATTCGTGTATTTGCAGTCTCTTCTTTAGTGCAGCTTTCTTTTTCATTGTGATATTTTGGCCAGATTCTTCGTTGCCGTTCACTGTTTAATGGCTTAGTCATTGGTGGTGTCTGTGTGCCCTTTAATCCTATTCTGGCTTATCAAATGGTGGTGTCTTTGTATCTTTTGTTTTTATGTGTCTTTATTTGGTGTGTATTCTCCGTCTTTTATTTTTTTGTGAGTGGACCTGTAAGCTTTTCTTGTGCTTAATGTTTTTTTGGAATTTGTGGATAAGTATCCACTTTCCTGAGTGCTTCTTTGAATTCTATTTATGTTTGGTTGGGCTTTCTTATGGTGTTCAGTTCCTTCCTATAGTGGAGTATTATTGTGAGAGCTTTTTTGTTGGTTGAGTTGTTTTGGAAGTTTTGATGGAGGGTTTGTAGCTTGGGTGCCTGTGCTTTTTGAGTCTTTTGCAAGGGTACGAATTGATTTTATTATGTGTGGAGTTTTGGTGTCTTTAGACATTATTCTGGTAGACGCGGAGTAAGCTATATTAATTAGTTTGGTTTCTGGTCGTCTATTTTTATTTTAGTTTTAGTGGTTTGTTTCCCACATATGTATGCTTGTCTTTATTATTTTTGTTTGTGTGGCTTACTTCCCCAGCTCCTTTGGTTTATTTTCTTTTCTTTGTTTTTTTCTGGTTCGTGTATATGCTTTTCTAATTTTTCCTGTTATTATGTTAGATTTTTTAATAGTTTTTTTTTTTTGGACATTGTTGTATTTTTTATATTTGTTTGTTTTTTTTTTATTTCTTTTATATCGTGTTTCATGTTTTATTGTATGTTTTAATAGGGTACCTTTGTTTATATTTTGTTTCCTGCTTTTCTGCTATTTTTTTCTGAAATTCTCATTTTGCGTAATTTTTTTAAAACTTGTTTTTCCCTTGTTCTTGCTTTGCTTTTGATTTATGGGTTGTTTTTTTTGTTTTGTGCTGTGTGTGGCTCTATTGTGAATTTGGTTTTTTTTTGATTGTTGTTGTTCCTAGAATACTTTGTTTTTGTTTTTTTTTTGTTGTTTTTTGCGTAGTATGATAGTTTCTTTTTGTGATTTCTGTCAGGTCTTGTTGACAGGGGCTCTTTCTGGTTTTGTTTTTTTGGGGGGTGTCTGTATTATGGGTATTGTACCTTAAATTTGGTTTGTTGCTTTTGTTATTTTGAATCTGGTGTCGAAATCTTTCTTTTTGTTATTTTCTGTGTTGTTTTGGTTTGCTCTTCTTGGTTAGCAATTAATGTTTTTTATTTGTGTAGTTTGCGCTCTGTTTTGAGCTTTTGTTTTTGAAGAGTATTTGGTTTAATTCTTGTGTGCTTGTATTCTGGTTAGTTATTGCTTTTGTTATTTTTCTTTTTCTGTCTCTGTGTGGAGTTGTGTTTTTTTTGTTGTGCTGGTCTTGTGGTATTTGTTTCTCTCTGTGTCTTCATTCTTTCTTTATTTTTTTCTCTCGCTTTGTATTTTTGGTGAATGGTTCTGTTGCGCCTGGTGTGTTCTTGTTGACGTAGGGGTGTAGGGTGCCGTTTATTCGTACGGTCTGTCTTGCTTTGCGATTCAATCTCCTGCCTTGGCCTTGTACGTCTCTGCTACCAAGTATGGATTTTTTAGTTTTTTGGACCTCTTGTGGTGTTCAGGTGTTTATACTCAAGTCGACTTCAGCCACTTTCCATTGTGTGGGCCATAAATTTGGCAGGCTTGGGTTTGCTCTCATTTGATAGAAGGTGAGTTTTGCGTGCGCCTTTTGTATCCCTGGGGTGGCTTTGTTTGTTTTTCTAGGTGCTGTTGGCAATAGATGTTCTTGGTTTATGTCATTTTTGCTTTTGGGGCTTTCTCTTGTTTTTTTTTTCTCCTTCTTTTGTTTTGTTTTGTTTTTTTTTCTTTTCAATATTCATGGCTTATTTTTTTTGCTTTTGTCATTTCTGTGAGTGTCTTCTGTGTTTGTGCATAGTGTGGTTTTGTTTATTTGATTGTTATTTTTAGTGGGGGATGAATTGTGTAGGTAGGATTCTTATTTTGCTTCTAGTTGATTGTCTAGTTATCTGGGTGAGGGTTGGAGGTTCCGTGTTTTTTTTTGCTTTTTTTCTCTCAGCCTTTTGCTTGATCAGAGGTTTTGTTTTTGTGATCTCTTGCTGGTTTGGTTCATGACATTGTTTGCTAGTTCTAGGGTTCCTTTGTTTCCATGCTTTGTTTTGCCCTTTGTGTGTTTTTCGAGTTCCACCTCAGACAGTCGGTTAGCTTTTATTGGCTTCTGTTTGTGGTGGTTTTGATGTGATTTGTATTTGCAAATTTTTTCCAATTGTTTTGGTTTGTGATTGTATTTGATTTTTGGAGTATATTCATCATGTTTTTTTGGTTTTCTGTTTTTAGTGGGTTGTGAGTGTGTATCTGTGAGGTGAAAGTATGTGATTTTTGATGTCTTTATGCTTTGGCTTCCTGGTTTTCTTTTTTCTTTTGTTTGGTATTACTAGATTTTTGTCAAATTGGTGTTTTTTTTGTTTTGTTCTTTTTGTTTTTGTGTTTTTTATTTAGATGTTTGTTCGATTTTTCTTCTTACCTTTGTCTTTGTTTATTTTGTTAGGTTTAATGTTTGTTCTATGCTTGACTGCTATTTTGGTTTCAGGATTTTGTCTAATATTATTTATCTTCTATTTGTTTTCGTATCGCGCTCTTGACCGGTTTTGGATGAGTTTCGTTAGTTTCCCGTTGTTTTGTTTTTTTCTATTTTATGGTTTGCTGTGACCTGTTTCCTACAATATTTCTTGGGTGCTTCCAGATTTTTTTTTATCTTTTTTTTTTATGATTTTTGAGTTAATCTTTGTGCTTGGTGAGTGTGTGTTATGTGCCATAGTATTCTTGTATGTCGATTTTTTTTGGTTGCTTGCCCTCAGGCGTTTCAGAGTTGCTTGTACCTTCGCATGACGCCATCTCTGAAAGTAGTCCCAGAGGGTTCCTTTGCTCTCTTGTGGCTGTTAGTTAGTGGTTGTTATGAGCTATTATGCCTTGGTCCTCTGTTTTTTATGCTTTGGTATTGTTTTGTCTTTGTTCTGTTACTGCTTAGATCTTGTTTCTGTACTGTTTTGTGGTGTCTGGTTAGTATTTAATCATCTTTTAGTTGCTTTTGAATGTTGACTTTTGTTTTATGATTTCTCTTTGCATATTATTTTTTTTTTTTTTGTATTTTGTTTATGCTGGGTGTATGTTTGTGTTGTTTTTTGCGTTGTTATGTCCTGTTTTTTTTGTTGATTTGTTTTGTGGTAAATTTCCAGTTGTTCCTTTTTGCATTTTGTCTCGGACGATTTTGTCATTGTATTCTTTGTTACTTTTGTTGTTGCTCTATAACAGTAGCTTTTTCTGTCGCTTTCGGCGTGTTTTTAGGGCGCGTCAACATCCTTGTTTTGTGTGGCATTTCTGTGTTTCTTGGTGTTTCTTTTCTGTTTCTGTTCTATTTTCTTTTTTTTTTCTTCTTCTTCTTTTTTCTTTGTTTTTTTATTGCTAGTGTCATACATGGTTGTTTTTGTTCCTTATTTTTTTTGCTTGTTCTAAATTATTTTGTTTGATACTGTGATGCTTCCAGTACACTATAGGTTTTTTATGTTTCTTCTTTTTTTTTGATTTTTCTTAGTTTGTTTTCTTTTAAATTTTGTGGTTTTTAGTTTCGTTTTTTCTATTTCATACTTTATTTCAGTTTGATGTTTTGCTAGCCAGATTCGGCACGTTTTGCGGGTTTTGATCCATCGTGGGGCCGGTCATGTGTCTTTTCTTCCTGCTTTGGACAATGCTTTTTGTTGCGTCAGGTTTTTGCTTTTTGTGGGGTTGTTGCTTGGGTATCACTTTGGCTCCTGGGTTTGTTTTTGTTGTGATCTGTGCTGCTGTTGTCTTCTTCCGTTTTGGACACAGTGTGTTTCTGTCTTTGTATAGGTTTTTTTTTTTTCCCTTTGCTTTAGCTTCTTTGTTTTTTGATTTTGTTCTTTGGTATATTTTTTGTTTTCTGTTGTTTTCTCATTTATATATTTTGATTTCGCTTTAGATTTTATTTATCGTCCTGCTTTGTTTCCTTGCAATGTTTTGTTAGGTTGTTATTTTTTTATAGTGGTGTATCCGTATTGTCTGTTTCTTTGTTATGTTGTCAAATTTTATTGTATATTTAAATGATTTATTTATTTGATTAACTTTGCTGTGTTTAATTCATGCATTTAATCATTTGTTTCTTTTTTTTGTTATTATTTATATTTTCTGTGCTTTTGTACTTTTTCTGTCACCTTCCTTTTTATTTTTGTTTTTCTGTATAATGCATGGCTTCTTAATCTGTGCTCATTGATTGCGTTTAGAGTTTGTTTTTCTGTTTGGTATTGTTATTTTTCTTGCTTTTGGTAATTTCTTTGTCTTTCTTTGTTGTCTATGCTTTTTTTGTTTTTTATGAATTTGTTTATATTCTGTATTTAGTTTTTTCTATTTTTTTTCGGTTTATTTTTTGTTTTCTTGCGGTTTTTGGGTGGTGTTGGGTTTTAACCTGCGTGCTCTGGCTTATTGGTCCTTTTCTTTAACTCTTTGTGCCTTGGGTTCTTGTCTTTTGGTTTTTTATTTGATTATTTTTTATTATTTTTTTAATGTGTTGGTTTTTTTATATATTACTTGTTTTTTTTTTTTTCTATTTTTTTGTTGGAGGTTTTCTCATTTTTTTGGCTCTTTGATCGGTATGTTGGTCTTGTTTTCTGGTTTTCATTGTCACGTTCTTTGTGCTTTGAAGTGGCTCTGGTTTTCATCTTAGTCAGATCTGCTGAATTTTTTGTTAGAGTATGTATGCTTAGTTTTTTAATTCCTCAAGTCCCATTTTTCCATTTGTTTCTCAGATTATGTTTTTCATTCTAGGAGAGGTATGCCGTCTTGGCATCATGCTTCCTGTGAATAGCACCAACTCCTTCTCCACCTTCCAGGTGACAGGCATTCCTGGGCTGGAGGCTGTGCACATCTGGATCTCCATACCCTTCTGTGCCATGTTCTTCATTACCTTGGTGGGTAACATGACCATCCTGACAGTTATCTGGAGGGAGCAGACCCTCCATGTGCCCATGTACCTCTTCCTGGCCATGCTAGCTGCCTCTGACCTGGGGCTGTCTCTCTTCACCTTCCCCACAATGCTGAGGGTCTTCTGGCTGGATGCAAGAGAGTTGACCTCTTCTGCTTGCTTTATACAAATGTTCTTTATACACACCTTTCAGGATTTTGAGTCAGCCATCATATTGGCAATGGCCTTTGACCGCTATGTGGCCATTTCTCGTCCATTGCACTATTCTTCCATCCTCACTAATAGTGTGATTGCCAGAATAAGTATAGCCATTGTCTTACGAACCTTAACTGTACAAGTGCCCCTCCCAGTTCTCTTGAGGAGACTGTGCTTCTGTCGCTCCAATGTACTTTCTCACTCCTACTGCCTGCATCCTGACATCTTAAAGCTCTCCTGTTCCAACACTAGGGTTAATAGCATCTTTGGGCTGTTTGTGGTGCTCTCCACTATGGGACTTGATTTTCTCCTCATTATTCTTTCTTATGCGCTGATTCTGAAAACAGTACTGAGCATTGCTTCCCATGGTGGCCGTCTCAAGGCCCTCAATACCTGCATCTCCCACATCAGCGCTGTGATCGTCTTCTTCACACCCATGATCTGCTTGTCGATGCTGCACCGCTTTGGCCCAAGGCTTCCTTCCCAAGTCTATGTGACCATAGCCAACATGCATTTCCTCATTCCTCCTGTGATGAACCCCATTGTGTATGTGGTGAAAACCAAGCAGATCCGAGAGAAAATTCTGAAACTCTTCAACAAAAAAAGACCACAAGAATCCCAAATAACATTTATAACATAAATATTGGCAAATGGAGGTAACACTAACAGACCAACTTTTCCATCTGAAAGGGTGTTCCAGATATGGAGGCAGCAGGTCTGAGTATGTTATATATTTTTTCAAAATGCTATAGTTTTCTCTTTCAGCTATAACTATTGTTTAAATTTTTTGTATATATTTTCTTTTTATGATAACTTTTCAGCTGAGATGACCAATGACCTTTTCATCTCAGTATTTGCTATATGAAACAGCTTGTGCTGTGTTCTGCTTTCTAAATGACAAAGCCTTAAGTAAACTTTATATCACATTCAGTCACCATTTCAGTTCAATAACTGCCTATTTGTTATCTGAATACTTAACTGAATTATATGTATACTGTGGGGAGCGTTCTGTGCTGGCAGGGCCCCCAAAGCCTGGGTAATGCTCAGGGAGTGACCCGCAACCACTTCTCCTCCCCTAGAAACATTATTTAAACCTACCAGAAGTCACATAGTCCGTGCATACTTTCCTTGTTGTCAGTAAGCACACTTTTTTTTTTTTTAATTACAGTTTTTGGCCGGGCCTGGGTTTGAACCTGCCACCTCCAGCATATGGGGTGGCGCTCTACTCCTTTGAGCCGTAGATGCTGCCCAAGCACAGTTTTTCCTCTTTATGCTTATTCTCCACCCCATGTGTTAAGATTTATGCCGTCTTGTTAAGATATTGTATAAATAAAGCTGTTTCCACAGCTCAGGGGCTGGCTGCAGTCATCAGATGCATCAGCCCTTCCGATGCTAGCCTAGCTTTCGGGTCCTATCTTTCTTTGTATCCCTCTCCCTGTTTTTCTGCCTTTGTATTTCTCAATTTCCCATCGTTTTCACCCAGATCAACTCTCCCCACTCTTCCTGGGTCATGAGAGGTACTTCTCTCAGGCCAGGACTCGACAGTACACAAGACAATATCTTTGTTATTTTTTCACAGTTCCTGCCAAATAGGTTGTAACTTCCTATAGAACAACATAGATTGGGATAGTAGGGACGAGTAGGAAGTAAGGCCTTTCCCACTTCAATTGGTTGCTCATAATATTGCTTATAAAAGGTAAATTTTAAAAATGGTGAGTTGTTGGTATGACTGACTAGGACGTGTCAGTCATACCAACAAGGGCGGCACCTGTGGCTCAGTAGGTAGTGTCCCAGCCCCATATATCAAGGGTGGTGGGTTTGAACCCAGACCGGGCCAAACTGCAACAAAAAATATCTGGGCCTTGTGGAAGGCGCCTGTAGCGCCAGGGAGGGTTGAGGCAAGAGAATCTCCTAAGCCCAAGAGTTGGTGGTTGCTGTGAGCTATGATGTCATGGCACCCTACGGAGGGTGATAAAGTGAGACTCTGTCTCTTAAAAAAAAAAAATGGAGTTGTTGTTGGTATGACTGATATCAGGATGTAAGAACATGAAAGCCATTTTTAGAATTAGTGTTCTCTTACCCATGGCAGACAGTAATAGTGGCAAACTTTACCTTTTCTTAGAAAAAGCCCTTCCATTTTGTAATTGTAGATATAAAATTGCTGGGTACCATATGAATAAACAAAGATCGTGTAATAATTTAAACCATAACTGTCTCACTTTTTGCCACACATACTTCTTTAAATAAAAACCTCAACATTCATGTTTCCTTATTTTTTAATATCTTTTGAATCTGCACGTTGAAATTAATTTAAATATCTCTGCATTTCCTACTCTTCTGCCTATACTTCTGAGTTCTAATTAAGAATAACACTTGACTGGCATTCTGGGAGGCTGAGGCAGCTTGATTGCCTGAGCTCAGGAGTTCAAGACTAACTTGAGCAAGAGCGATACACTGTCTAAAAAAAAAAAGAAAGCTCAGCATGGTGGTAGCTACTTGGAAGGCTCAGGAAAAAGGATCACTTGAGCCCAAGAGTTTGAGGTTGCTGTGAGGTATGATACCACAGCACATTACCAAGGGTGACAAAATGAGACTCTATCAGCTAAAATTTGATTTCATTTTATTTTATTTTGCAGTTTTTGGCAGGGGCTGGGTTTGAACCCGCCACCTCCAGCATATGGGGCCAGCACCCTACTCCTTTGAGCCACAGGCGCTGCCTTCAACTAACTTTTTTTAAAAAAATTCAGAATATTGCAAGTGTACATACATGTTTTGTTATATATTTTGTTTTGCACAATAGCACACTTCAAAGTTATAAAAGTGCCCTTCACCCACAATGTTATACCCATTCAGTTTAATTACTGAAACCTTCCTTTACTTCCTCTTGCTTGATTCCTGCTGAACTTTGTTTCCTTATGTGTACATAACTGTTGGTCAACTAGTTCCAATTTAGTATTGAATATATGTGGTATTTTTTCCCATTCTTGTTTTCCATTGTTTCCCCTGAAGTTACGCATGAGCAACACATTGCTCTAATGCACAGTGGCCGCTAGTCATAACCTAGTCATAGCTGCAACATATCAAACACTGGCAAGTAAATCATTTACGTTTCACACTATACTCTCCCTTTAATTTTACATGCATACAGTTATTTACTTCTATTTCTACCATCAAATTATTCCTTCTGATCTCAAAGAAAAAATCATCATCTCCTTTATTCAAACTATCTTCACGTTTAGTTAACTCCTCTGGATGTATGTGATTCTTCAATCCTAGCTGCAGCTCATTCTCTCTTTCTCTTTTGTTTACCTACCATCATTTCTCATTTGTTTACCTACCCATTCTTAGAAAATACGCCAATCACATAAAAATACAAGACACAATAAAACAAACATCCGTATACTTTTCAACGTGGGTTTGTTAAATTATAAGTTTTTGCCACCCAGAAGTTTTTAAGTAAAAGAGTTTGCAGTAAAAGCAATTATTTATTTATATGCTACTGAACCATAGACCTTAAACTAAAGCCCTGAATGTAACCAAACAGATGTGAATTTACTATTTATCTTTCCCTTCCTTGTTTCATTATATTTTATGCATATGCATATATGTGTATATAATAAGCCTATATTCAGTTACCTGAGATCAGAATTATTTTTAGGCCACAGTAGAGTCCAGCCATGTTTCACACATGCTGAATTCTAACTCTTTTCTAGTGGGGGCATGGCATACTTCTGAAAGTCACAGGACATGCCTACAATTAAAAATTAGTACAACACTGTTTATCTTTATAGCTGTATTGATGACCCTTACCAAACTGGAAAACTAAGTGTCCAGAATATTTAGATAGTTTCTGGGTAATGATGCTATCATCTGTGCTCAAAACAGGCCCCTCGAGAATAACCCAGGACAGTAGCCTATGTAAATGAACATGAAATTTGCTGTGTGCACCTGTTCCCTGGTATGAGGTCTACACATGCTGGGCACATTACAGAGGTCTCTTTAAGAACTCTGGAGTTCAAAACGTAAGCAGACTTTGTGGATAGGGACATCTCTTATGTGTGTCTGAGGTTCACATCTGGTATAACCATTGTAGAACCAGAGGAAATTCTTACAAGATGTCCTTGCTAGATTTTGCCTACATACGACTTTTTAATAATCATCCCACATAATGTCTTTTTGATTATTAGATTTAGGCCTTAGCTATAACTTTACAATGAATTGTGTGACTCCTTCAACAGAATAACTGTACTAGCGCAGTTTTGTTTCACCAGAGATGCCTTCGTGCTTCATTCCTAACTTGGTCCCTAACTCAATTTCACAGGCCATTTCTGTCCAGCTCCACACTTTTTGCAGACAGAATGTGTATCTTCTGTTACCCTCTTCTCAGCTTCAAAACAAGCTCTAGTTCCATTGCATCATTTTTTAATCTCTTCCACACATTAAAAATCATTATTTAGAAAAATAGGAAGAACTGACATTGAAACCGTTGGAGAGAGAGGGAAGAAGAGCACTAGTGAAAAAGTAAGCTGCATGCTATGGAAACTGTCTGCTGTTGTCTTGAAGACCAAACAGTGAAAAATGAATGTATGTTGGAGAACATCTACTAATATCATTATTCATAGGAACAGTGAAGTAGATGTTCCACGTCAACCCCCAACATATTTACAATTTAAGAAAAAATAACCACTGGATTTGGACAGAAAGAATCCTTTGGGGTTACAAAGGATTAAATGTCCTGGAGTTCTGAAAGCGATATAAGATGTTTCTTGAACCAGGTCAGTTAGGCTTCTATTTCAGAGTAGTGAAGACAGTCTTAGTCTAGGAATAGAAGGAAGGAAGCCTGACAGAAAACTGGTTGCATGTTCCAAGATTATACCATACCACGTATGAGTATTACTCTGGAGAGTTAGCAAAACCCCACAATAATTAGCAATAGTCAGCTCTGGTAGCCTATTCCATGGGGATTAGGTGTGGGTTTCCAAGAAGAGAAAGAACCAAGGATTTATAAACCTGCTCACTTGGCATTGCGCTCAAGGCAAGGAGCCTCTTGAGGCCCCAAGCTGTACCACCATCCACAGAACACTCTGTCCTGAATTTGGTGAGTGATGAAAAACTCTTAGGCTGGGTTAGACCAAGTCCTGTCATATATGTACCAGGACTAGGAGCTAAGGCAGGTCATCGGTTACCCCAAACATGGTTTCAAACTTTGTATAAGGATCTCAGAGGTAGAAAATACACTTGTTGAAGGTATGCAGCACCTTTAATCCTCTTTACGTGCCATATTCTACAATGTTCAGAAGCAAGCCCTGACTATTTTTTCTTCACTCACCAATCACTTAATCCTTGCCTTTGGAGTTTAAGATAAACTTCAAGTCAAACTGCATTTATGTGTAATGCATATTAGATAACTGATAAAAAATGATATAAGAAAGAAAATAAAGGAGGGAGGGAAGGAAAGAAGGGAGAAAAGGAGAGAAAAAAAAAGAAAATTGGAAATAACATTTTCTGTTTTTATAAAACATAGCAATAGAAATGACACCAAATAGCTACCACCGAGATTTCCAATATAAAGATGCCTAATGGAGATTTTGTCTTGCAAGGACTAGTTTTAAGTGATTGATGATATTTATCTTAGTCTATAAGTTTCACTTATAATAATAATGGCTCTACCTTTATCCTCTGAAGAACTTATAAAACTTAGTTTACATAGCACTTCTCAAGTCAACATAAGAAAATCCAGAAAGCCATTTTTGTGGCTTTTCTACCATTATCAACTGTGTAGATAAAAAGCCACCTAAAATATGGGCAATATAGCAATTTAAGTCTCAGAAAGCTCAGTATATTTCCTTTTTGAAGATGGGTCCCACTGTGTTTCCCAGGAATGGCTCAAATTTGGGGTTGAAGAAATCCTCGCACCTCAGCTTCCTGAGCAGCTGGGACTACAGGTATTTTGCTGAACACTTTTTGGAAAAAACAAACATACAAACAAATGAACATAGTCTTAGAATTAATAAGAGTTACACAATCTTCTTCAAATACTAGGCATTTTTTAACATGCCATTCATTCAGAGTTCAATATGAGACGGAAAAAAACTATGGAGGGATCATTATCAAGGGATAAGCATCCTTCTGGCCTTTGTCTAAAGGGTTTCTTATCTTCTATTCCTTGCTAACTTCAGGCATTTTAGCATTTCTGTATGACCAAGTTTGGGCGCAATGTGTATCTTTTCTCTGCAGGCAGATCAATCTCAAAGTTGTATTGTTACTTTTTAACATTAAACGACTAGACATTAAATATACAAAAATCTTTATAGGACTATAATATTAAGGAAAATATTCATGCGGCTCATATAACCAGACAAAAATTCAGACTGGAATAATCTAACACAGCGGAAATCTACATACTTAATTATTAAATGAGGACTGATAATACTTTATAATGTGCACAAATGACTTTGCAGAAAGGTAGATTTTCTAAATTACTTAAATGTGACAATTAAATGAACTGCTTTCTGCAACATGTAATTTGTAATCTCACTTTTTTTTTTTTTTAGGGATGATACAGTGTCAATTTAGCAGGTGGACAAATTACCTGAAAAAAATCAGCATTTTAAGAGTTTGTTGGCAAAGCTTAAATTAAGAAAATAGCAATTTCACTACTCTCTTTGTGACTGAAAACATCTTGTCAATGGTTCACGTGGGAGGAATAATTCCCTCATTTCTTCACATGAGAAACTGGGAAGCAAGGATAGGCAAACACAAGCTTCTGACCTCTGTTTAATTGTATCCACTGACTTCATAAACATTCAGGCCTACGTCTAGGTGCCCTAGGAATACTTTTTTCTCTTCATAACAAATTTACAGAAATAGTACAGGTAAATTCCTATTATTCTGATAATTATATACTTATCAGAATTTAGTTGTATACACACAAAATTTTCACAATTCACAAAAACTCAGCTTTTCTTTCCATTACTGTTCTTTCCTCAAATCTTATAGACCTGCCACTCCTTCTTATCTCTTTTATGGGTAGCTTTTATGAATCTTCTTTTGCCACTTTTCAAATAATTACTGCTAACATTTGTTTACTGCTTAATTGACATACTCATTTAAATTTTCACGCCTTTGCTCAACCTTCGCGTGATTTTTACCTTGAGCTTTCCTTAGATCAACATGTAACATGTGGAATGGGATTCATAGATGTCATTTAGGACTGTATGGGGCAGCATTAGAATTAGTTGGTGGAAAAGGATTAGAAAATAATGAAGATTGTTCTCTTGGTCACAGATGCTACATAATGGGTTTGCCAGGAAAATGCTGAGCTTGCCGTTTTATTAAAAAAATTCTAATGTATTGACAAGGGAAATAATCCAATAATGTGGAATTTAGATATGTTCCCCAAATTTCATTTGAACTCTACATACTCAAATTTCATACTTTCTTCCTTTCCTTAATGAGGGTCATCGATGAAATCCAGGATCATTCTTTACAAAGGTAATTTATGCAGAGCAGGATGTAGATTAACAGTTGAGTTCTCTTATCTGTCTATTCATAAGTATTCTCTTGAACTAGTTTACGTATATTCTCTGTGTTTTATCAGTGCAACATTAGATCTTTCAAGGCAGAAGCTATCTATGTCTGTGATTGCATTAATAACATCAAGTACATAGCCAGGTGCTCAGTACATGTGTGATGCCATTTGCAATATATTAATATTTTGATTCCAAATACAAATTATTTCCCAATATTTACCTCCTTCCTCTCACGTATGTCTACCAGCCATCCAAACACTTTTAGAAAGTATCATGTAGCAAATGCTAGAAAGAAATCAAATAAATATATACATCAAGCCCAAACTTTTCCTGGTGGCTTCTTGTCACAATTTTTACTTCTGATATCCTAGGGTCCCTTTCAGAACAACAACAACAAAAAATCTGAAAATAGCATGAATTTATAATTGACATTAATTACTTACACTTTACATTCTAACTCCCAATAATTCATTAAAATCAATTTTCCTTGTGGGAAGTTTTTAGAAACCTGATTCTATTCCGGAACTAAAAATAATCTAGCTCATGTATATATAGATGTTATTTTCCTAACTTAGAAGGTATGTGCCTTTTGCAGTTTTCAAACTTTGAAATGTCTTCAAGATGAGGAAGAAATTTCCTTATTTGAAAGACCCAAATATGTTATCAAAAATTAAAGGATACCACTAAGAAAGACAGAAATGTTTCATAGCAAAAACCTCTGAAGGAAAGAGATTCAGTGCTGAGAGAGAGGAAGGGCAATATTGCTGTACAGATAAGAGTAGTGTGATAAAAAACAGGCTGTGAAAAAAAATGTCTTTGTGATTGCTTTACAGTTTTTCAAAGGTAGTTCCTCCCCAGAGTTATGGAAATTACTAGCAACGTCAATGCCAGCAACTTCTTGTTCATACTGATGGATCTCCCAGGACTGGAGACTGCTCATTGCTGGACAGCTATTCCTATCTGCTCCATCTATGTTCTTTCTGTGATAGGCAATGTCACCATAATGTACATTGTCAAGTCTGCATCCAGTCTCCACACTCCCATGTACCTCTTCCTGTCCATGCTCTCCATGGCTGACCTAGGCCTCTCAGCTTCTACACTGCCTTCAATGGTAGCTGTCTTTCTCTTGGGCCAGAGAAAGATTGGAGCTGACACCTGCTTCGTGCAACTCTTCTTCATCCATACTTTCTCAGTCATTGAATCAGCTGTTCTGCTCTCCATGGCCTTTGACCGCTACGTGGCTATCCGAGAACCCCTTCGCTATGCCACCATTCTCACACCAAGGCGCCTTGGGGCCATTGGGCTAGCCGTTGTGACCCGCAGCACTGCCCTGCATTTACCCCTGCCTGTGCTCCTTGGAAGGCTGCAATTCCAGCCTGTGAATGCTCTGTCTCATTCGTATTGTGTTCATCCTGATATTCTGAGGCTGGCCAGGTCCAGCACTCTTGTGAACAGTAGCTTTGGGCTCTTTGTCATGCTCTCCACCCTGGGAATGGATGCTGTGCTCATCCTCATCTCCTATGTGCTGATCTTGAAGACAGTGTTGAGCATTGCTTCCAATACTGGGCGGCTCAAAGCTTTCAACACTTGCATTTCCCACATATGTGCAGTATTGCTTTTCTATACCCCGCTGGTTAGCCTGTCCATGATCCATCGTTTTGGTAAAAAAAAGCTACCAGCTCAGGTATATATGCTTCTCTCCTACCTCCACTTCCTTATGCCTCCAATGCTCAATCCAATTGTCTACAGCGTGAAAACCAAAGAGATTCGGGTACGAATTCTAAAGATGCTATGCCCCCAAAAGCTCTGAGTTACAGGAATAAGATATTGGTGTGTTACCTCAATCCTAGAGAAAGACTTGTGAATTGAGGACATCTCAAAGAGGGGACAGAGTCTAACTTCTATTTGATCTATTAACTATTATTCAATTAATTGTTCAAAGACACTGCGTGAAGTACAATGTGGTATTTCCCCAGTCATCAATGGGAAAAAAAAATTTCTTAGTCTGTAAAAGTCAATCTCAATCTTAAAATATCCACGTTATTATAAGGATAACTTTACAGATTCTTAAAAGAATATCTATTTACATGCCAAAGCAAGTAGATTATAAGAAGATTCAATAATAGCTTAGATCTGGACCAACCCAAAACCTAGAATCTTACAAAGTTAAGTTCAAGAAGGCATCACTTAGTTGTACATTCAAAACATGTGACATTATATCTGATCAAAATATGTTTTCTCTGGTTTGCATAATACATTTATTAAACATATGTAGATGTGGATTATACTGGAAATTATAAAACAAACATAAATACTTCAGAATTATACATGACTTTAAAAATAAAGATCCTAATTACTATAATATAGTTCCTCACAACATAAACATTATGCAGGGTGATATTTCCTTAAGCTCCATTACATATGAAAAGTTGGTATAGTCTCCCAATATTTCTAGCTCTCCAAGTGAAGCTAGCTCACCTAGCTTCCTAATATATACATTAGAAATTCTGTGCCTTCAAAAACTATCAAGATTCTGTAACTTTTTAATAAAAGACTTCATGTACAACTCAATTTCTCTCCTCTTTTAGAGAAGAGTTCTAAGGCATGTGGACATCATAAAAGACTATTTTAAGACAATTAGCTAACTCTTATGAACCAGAAAGAGAGAAACTGATTTTCTTAATATGTCATGGTTTCTTGCTTTCTAGACTAAATTTGTCATCTAACTTCTTTGATGAAATTTCTTCATTAATAATCTAAAAAATAATAGATCACACACATTTTTTAATGTGTTAAACTTTGAGTAAAACTGTGCTGTAAAGTTATTTTTAATGTTATGATAAAGAGAAAAAATATATATTTCCAATATTTATTTTGCATCTAAATAGTCATTAATTGAAAACATGTGTTCAATTACACTATGCCACTTCCTATTTAAAATATAAAGAAAACAAAACAGAATATTGTTTTCTCCATGTGAGAGGTTTAAATCATTAGCATACCACCCCAAACACACCATGTAAGATTCTCCAGTGTGTCACAGGTACTTCTGTAGCAGATGAAAGAATACATGAGAGGGTGGGTTTATTTGCTAGGTTGTATTTTGAAATAAGTTTCAAGTAGAGCTTAGCCAGTTGAAATATTTAAGCAAGGAAAATACAACCATCCTTGAGAGGACATCATTTCTCAATAGATCTTGCCTTCGTTTTCACATACCAAACCACTGACAACCGTCTAACTCCACCCCCTCCTAAACACAAATGTAAACTTGTATCAATGCACTGAAGAAGAGACCTTTTATTACCCTCTTACCATACTCTGCTATGTCAGGAAATCCTCCTTCGTGATCTCATAATATCTTATGCATTTCTATTTACTAGCATTTTACTTAAATTTTTACATGTATTAAGATATAATTGACATATAATACATAATTTGCATGTAGATATATCCTTGGAATCATTATCACAATCAAGGTGATAAACTGATCCATCACCCCTATAATTTTCCTGTTGATCTTTTGTCTCCTTCACTAACACCTTTCCCCATCCAACCTGTCACATATACTGACATGATTTTGTTAATACAGACTGGTTTGTACCTTTCTAGAACTTAAAATAAATGTATCTATGAAGTTGTATGTCCTTTAGTGGGTATGGCATTGCTATTTTTACTCCTCAGGACCATATTGAGATCCATCTATGTGGTACATATAATACTTCTTTGTATTTTTGAATAATGTTTCACTTCATCAATATGCCATGATTTGCATATAAGTACTTTATTAAATTAAAAAAATATATATTTACAGGCTGGTCTCACATCTGTAATTCTGGCACTCTAGAAGGCTGGGGAAGGTGGATTGATTGAGTTAATGAGTTTGAGACCAGCTTGCACAAGAATGAGACCCCATTTTGCTAAAATTAGAAGGAAAAAAGCTGAGAGTGGTGGTGCATGCCTGTTATCCCAGCAAATCAGGAGGCTGAGGCAAGGGATTACTTGAGCCCAAGAGTTTGAGGTTGCTGTGAGCTATTATGATGTCACAGTACTTTAGCCAGGATGATAGAATGAGACTGTCATACATAAATAAATAAATAAATATATTTATTATCTCTTTTGCCACTTGTAATACTTAGAGTTCTTTAGCATTTTCCCAAATTTATACCTCACATCATTTCTTTTCAGCCTTAGAAGCTTTGTTGTTTTTTATTATTATAAATAAATAATTGAAAATTATTTATTATAATTTCTATTATTTATCTATAATTTGATACAATTAATCTATCTAATTATAGATAAATAATAGAAATTTATTTCTCACAGCTCTGCAATCTGAGAAGTCCAAGCAAACTACACCAACAAATTTGGTGTCTTGTGAGGACCTGTCCCACTTTGTTTAACATTTATTTTAAGTGCAGTTTTGCTTATCTGAACAAATCATTATTTCTCCTTCAATTGGGAAGAAAAATTATACTAAATTAGAACTGTGAATTGCACAGACTTATTTTTCTTATACCAGTTTAAAAATATTGCCCATTATTTGTAATTTTTTCCTCTGTCAGTCAGAAATAGGAATCCCACTTTTTACAGTTTATTTTCTCAGTTCATCTTTGTTTCAAAATTGTTGATCTATACCTCCCTTGGAAATAAATTTACCAGCTCAAGTACAATGTAGAGTTCTTTTCATCTGTAAACCTACAGTACAAATGTACTTAAATCAGTCTCATATGTCAAGATGGCCCTTAATATTGAATGTAATTATAGCCTTTCACCACATAGTGCTACCCCCCTACCACCTAGAGGGGGGTCAAGATATTCAAAGAAATCTCTCCACTCCATCTCATTTAAACCCCCAGGTATCTCAGTACTGTAGAAGATCCAGAACCTCTACTCAACTTATAGCCCAGTTCTTTACCTTGTTGTTGTTCTTTGGTAATTTTTTTTTTTTTTTAATTCTTACCCTGTGAATTTTCAGCTTAGTATCTGGAAAACAAAAGCAAAAACAAAAGTAAAAACAAACACATACAAAATAAAACCACCAGTTGATACCTAAGTAGCAGGTTTCTAGGAATTCTTCCTTCTGGATACTTGTCTTCTTATCTAGTAGTTCCCGCAAATTTTGATCTATCTTACCCTATCTGCCTGTCCAGGAAAGAGATTTTAATTTGCATTCAACTATCTTTGTGTTTAAAGGGTTGTCAGAGAGAAACCCTGAATAAACAAGGAGTTGACCTACTGCTTACTGTATTATAGGGCATTGCAGTTCTGTACTCTCTGTTTCCCAATGCTTCTGCTTCACATGCACGTATCTTCTCTAGATTTGTGGTTGTTTATGTGTTAGGATATGTTCAAGGTCTATTATTTCTTTATGACACACATCACTGTTGTGGAAAGATTTCTAGTCCTCTCTATTCTTTTGCTTTCATGGTCAGGGAGTTGGCAAATGATTGTGCATATAACTAAAACTGAGTTTCTGGCTTTGTTTTGTTCTTATATTGTGAAACAGATGATTTTAAAAACATTATTTTAGGGGTATGAATTGTCTGCCTTTGTATTAAATTCTATGGTTAATTTTGTGATTTCTAATCAATTGAAGAGATCTGTCTTCAAAATTGGAAAGTGCTTCATTTTATTGAATATTTATCATTTATGTGGTAACAATAAAAGGTTTCTTTTCCTGAATTTATTTAAAAGTAATAATAATAAAAATGACTCATGTAATGCATAATGTGTTCTTCTTAAAGAAGTATAAAAAACATTTGCATATACTATTATATTTCATGTTCACCATATTGTTATAGTAAATAATCATATTGAAATAATATCTAATTATCTGAGTATTTACAAGCATTGTTCTAACATTTTTAGTGGGTAATCCTCATAACAACTCTATGCATTGGTTTCTTTCATTATTTTCATTTCACAGATTGGGAAACTGAATCATTCAGAGGCTAAATAATCTACCACAATACTCAAGAGCCCTTATGATAGAGTTGAGGTCCAAATCCACACAGTTTAACCGTACGGCCATTTTTATTAACCAAATATCCATTATCTCCCAAAGATTACATTGTACGACCATGTTTTCCATGGGGAAATAAAGAGACTGAAAGAGCTTATTCAGCTTATATAAGTGGTAGAGACCACTTCTAACTCAGGGCTTTGTCATCTTAGAACTTGAACTCTTATCAAGCCAATTAATTTTAACCAAATGATAAGAGGAAATCAGTAACTGAATAAACTCTGACTTGTATGGGGCCAAAATATTCTTAATCACAATGGAGTCTCTTTAACACACTGTAAAACTTGTTTTTGAAGTTACATGGTTAAAGGCAATGGCTCCAAAGCCCATGGTGCATGTTGTGTTCACCAGGGAATACAGTCCTGGCATGTACTTGGACTTGTCTGATTGGTTGATTTACTGTAAAATCACTCTTCATTGTAGCTTCCTTAGCAGTGGACTCCTGATGATGTCCTCAGCTCCTGTCTCCTTGTGGGTGAGTCAAGAACGTGGGGTTTAGAGAAGAATGGTGAAAAGTCACCTCCAGAAGTTCTTGTTAGTGGTCAATTTAAAATAGCCTTTATATATTTTGAGTTGACACTAGAAAAGGATAGTAGATAGAAGATTACTAGGAAGAAAGAAGCTCTCCATCTTTAAGTACCACCTGGGAACTATCTGTAGAGTTTCCCGAAGAATTCTTAAAATGTGCTGTCATAATAAAGTTAATTAAACGGTAGATTAGGAGCTTGACTAGTAACTAACCAACAATGTCTCCCCTTGTTGTAAACACCGCTTGATATTTTTGTGCC